CATAGCCCCCTAGTTTATGAATGGCTCACTAGATGGCCTTTGTGAATGTGTCCCTGGAAATAATATCACCAGATGATGTTAGGGGTTTTCTTTTCTTATAGTTGACGATTATAGAGGACAGGTGGCATTGGTACAATAAATTTACAGCATATTCACGGAGTGGTTGGTGATGAGTGTAAGGAAGTCTTCGTTGGGTGTATGCTCTAGTGTGATAGAAGCGGACGGACGAACAAACAGACGGACGGAAGCTTCGTCCCCCTTATCACTCACGCCATGGATATGCTGTAAATTTTTCTTGAATGCATTTTTCTTTCCGATGTGACAGCATTAACTTTACCACGTCACATCCGAGACGGAAATGCGTCACTAAGTGGTTGCAGAATCCCTGCATAAAGACTTTCATGTGAAAAATTCTACAATCATCATCAGGTGGTATGAGCAACACATTTCAAAAATATGAAATTCAGTGTGTCATGTAGGGTAAACGCATGACGTCGCTACCTAAGAGTTTCCCTAAATTAAGTAGAGAGAACTCTGGTGCTGCAATTATTTAGCGACTATGGAAATGATGGGTAGTACACGAATTTGTCTAGTCTTCGTAATTGCGTATGGCCAATCACATTTGTGGCTTCATTTATTGCTGGTTTTGGTTTTGCTTGGAGAAAATAAAGAACCAGTTTGAAGTTCATGACCGGATTTCAAATATTAGGCCTAAAATGACAAGGTGGTGAAGCACAACTGCTGAGCCTTTGACAAATAATGTTTTGTGACAAAGCAGCTTCAAGCCACGTGAAGGCAACAGGAACTTTAAAGTACGAGGACAAGGCACATCTGTGTACCACTCACAATGTCCATGCTCGCTGAAGCACCATGTGTTGCAGCTCCTATAGACACTATATCTAGAGTTTGCTCTATAGTGCGTATTATTTTGAATTTCTATGGTTCCTACATCTTCCAGATGTGCCCTTAGAATTTATGTTTCAGTTCTCTCTTACCGTTCGTTCATTCACCATACGTAGACGGTGACGGTGACAGCAATCCACCTACTACTTCCCACATGAACTACTACGGGAGATTCCCTACCAGTTCACATATACCATGCGGACCATGCTGTTTATTCGACCTATGCTGTTTAGGCGCCTGAAAATACCTTGTTCAATGATCTGCCCATTTGCTATCTATAGTTACCTAAAAACGGTGTCCAGTAAAACAAGTAGGGTTGAGGTCTCAATAGTTTATCCTTCCATTACGTTGGCTTAGTAAAACGGGTTGACCGGATCGTACCAGAAATGAAAATCCACATGATCTAAAAAAGTTGCATTGTTTTATATTACATGATCGTGCTATTCTGCTTTGCCCCTTTTTGTATAAAAACAGAAACAAAGCATGCCATGAGACTCATAATACGCATAATTTTCTTGAGGCTACTTGGCTGGGCAGGTCACTGATACACAGCTCCAAACAGTTTTAAGCTCATTGCTTACCTCGAAGACAAGTGTAAGGTGAGCCACCAAGCTGAGGTCAGCGAGGCTGAGCTTGTCACCCAGCACGTAGTTTCCTTCTCCCAACACGTGCTCGAATCCCTTGATCACGTTCTCCTCGAACTGCTCCACATCCTCTGGTGTAGGCTTCGTCAACTCGTAGAAGCGGGGTCTCTGAAAGAGCAGATTATTTTTCAACAGTGACATTCAGACGCCGCTGTTGGCCGACCAGCAACCTGTCGTTACACAGACTGCACTTTGTGCCATGCACTCTAAGCCAAAACGGAGCAACAGGGGTATAGGGGTTGCTCCTTTCAGAGAGCAATTGCATTGCCACTCCCATTACTCTCCTAAAAGGAGTAACTGCAGAGGGAGGAACCGTTGCTCTCCTTTCAGTTCCTCCTTCGGGGGATGAACAGTTACGCCCTCCAGTTCCTCCCTGCAGACCAACAGTTACTCCCACCAGTTGCTCCCTGCCGACCAACCATTACTCCCACCAGTTGCTCTTCTAAGAGCAACAGTTACTCTTTACCGTTCCTCCCACGTGTTCGCAGTTACTCTCTGAAAACCAACTGCACATGCTTCCAGTTACTCCTTGGGGAAATGAGTATTTATCTTGAGTATGCTTGTCACACGCTTAACACATGGCTGAGAGCTCCTTGGAAGAGCACTGCTTGGGTGCTTCTAACACAAAAAGTGGACAATATTGAAAGGAAAATAAATGCTTTATTGTTCTTTTTATGAGGCGACGTGTGACCACACGTAAAAGTAGACTTCGCCACACCACAGCCAGCACTAAACAAACACCATAATACATCAAAGGTTTTCTGCGTCATCCGTGGAAAAACAATCTTGAATTTCTAGCATAGGGCAGTCTGTGTCATCATTGGTGAGAGAAGGGCAACTTCTCCAATTCTGAAGAACTCAAGTTTCGCAGCTGGTGTTTCCATCAGGCTAGCGCAGCAGAACGTCACCGCAGGCATATGTGAAGCATCTCATTGCTGCAAGAAAAAAAATAGAAGTGTGAGGTTAAACATGCCAGAATCAATTCATAACAATGAGTCACACACACTGCAGCAGCGCTTACATTCTAGGATGTCTACTGCAAAACGAAATGTGAAAAAAAGGAAGGTTCGGCCAAACGTTACTTGGCAAGCCATATAAATGCTGATGTGGTAGACGCTCTTCACATGATGTCTCAGACAGCAATATTCTGGAAGAAAATGTGCAGCACCTCAACAAGGCATATTTGTAGTAGCTAAAGATACCCTTAGGTTCAGTTAACTTGTTTCCTATACACAGCTGAGTGACATTTCTATGAGCCCATTCACCAATGGGCATTCTAAATGAGGTCATGTGTGTGGCAAATAACACGTACTGTCCGCTCATGTTAAAATACTTATTTAGCTCGTGCACATAGTTGCTCTCGATTCTACTGTTCTATCATACGCTGCTGCGTCTTGAATTGTGCAATACCTGTAGGCACAAGCCAAGCATGCAAAGCCTGCTTGAAAGCAACCATTTGCAGAGGCTACATGATAATCTTCAGTATATTTCTTTGTACCTGACGCAAACGGCTGGACAAAACTATAGACAAATAAATGTAGACCGTGCTACCTTCAAAAAATGCTTTAAATTTAGAAAACTAGGGTGCATTTGTTCACTCGGTTGACGAGTCACAGCCACGAGATATGTAAACGAAGCAATATATCTTAAGGCATGCACAGATATTCTGATTCTTTGTTTGACAGTGTCACAGATAGCTTGCCAATACATATATATTTGAGAGCAACAAGATGTGAAGCTTTTATTAGTTCAACGTCTTGTTGGTTCACAGCCAAACAGGTTACTGCTTGTTAGACAAATTGGAATAAGCACACCATGGTTTCCAAAAAAAAAAGCATTATTAGAAGTTAGCTCCCGGTGTGAATGTCTGCCTATTTATTTTGTACTGCCTTCTACATGTGCCACAAAGACATTTGTTGAGGATGTGCTACCAGTCAAGCCAAGATCGCATACTTGGTCAATGTGATGGAAATACAAACATTAGAAACACTGCCACCTCTAGTAAGAGCATAACACTTCAGTATCTTGGACTAGCAAAGAGGTGCACAAGAAAGTTAAGCCCACTCTTGCGGAACTTTGAACGCGAATATTTCAGAGTGGGGGAGGTCAACATGCTGTGGCACTTTTAAACCCACGAAACATCTGCAGAAAACAGGGTAAAGGCAAGTCAAGAAACGCTGTTATGAAGGCCTGCGCATGGACAGCTTTGTGAATCTAGGCCCAAGTGTTATGCTTTGTGCAAGCCAAAATCCATGTAAATAGGGAAAGCATACTTTTAGGAGTACCAGCGTAAAGAAATCTTGGCAGTTGGCTTTTTAGTACAAACAGCAATCCCTGCAATGAAAACATAAACATTTTATCTTAACGGTAACAGTGTGAGCACACACACGGGCCAGCGGAGCCATGTCGAATTGTCAGTGCCAGTGTAACCATGTGGCATAATGAACTATTCTCTGGCCAACACATGCACAGTTTGCCCCTAAAAAGCGATGCTTTCATATACGTAGTACAAAAAGTCTGCACTTACCAAAATTCACTTGCTTTCTGTACTTTAGCATCGTTGGGAGCATCTTTATCTGCAGTATAACCAAATTTGTGTCATATCCCTGAAAAAAAAGTAAAAGACATGCATCAAATATTGTTTCATTTGGTAGCAGTGAAGTCAGGTTAAGAACAGCCAAGTGGGAATCAGCCTAATTATGTGCATGCGGCAAATCCCAAACGGCGTTATTGAGGTTGTCGAAATTTTCGTCGATTGGTATTAACGTCGATATGCGACTTCAACGGCATGCCAAGTTTTCACAGCGCATAAAGATTTCATGATGCAGAATAATGACAGCGCTAACGAGAACATACAGCATTTATGATTGTCTTTTACAATATTCAGTTTTGCTAAGGTTTTGCATCACTAAAGAAATCTGAAAGATTTGGGTCATTCCTCCTCCAATTGTTCTGTCAATATGTAAACTGCTCGCTTGATGGTGCGCTTATAAAATAGTACGTTCAGCGCAGAGGTGAAGCAAGTGACGCAGTGATGTGGGCAGATTTTTTTTTTTAGGCGTGCGGGGAGGGGGGGGGGGGGTCCGCTTATCTGAATAGGCCGGGCAAGCGAATATGGTCGTCAATTTGGGCTCCCTACGCCCGGCCTAAAAAAATTCTGTGCGCAACCGCCTGGCTATGCCAGTGAAGTGATGCGACAATGATTTGTTCACTTACTGATTTACATACACTTTACATCTCTAAAAAATGCGGCCCAAGGCCCCAACACTCAGCCGTTAACAGTACATAAAGCCAATGGTAGAAAAGTGCCAGTATGAATGCAGCTACAACCCCGCCCCAATGTTTTTTCAAGCGAGGTAGTGTTGCGGAAATGAACTTTTAACTGCAAAAGTACACTGGCACTGCAGTGGTGACAGGGGAAGCAAGAGGGTATGCAGGCGGTAATAGAGGTAATTTAGTCCGATACGGCTAGCAATGGATACGGTGAATAAGAGCAAATCATTTCTCTTTCAATAGCGCAACCACTCAACAATGTATTGTAAGAGCATTAAATGTTGCTGGAAATGCCACTCACCTGCACGCTGATGCATGCACAGTCCTTTGTCCGACGAGCGAACAGGCTTGCAGATAGCTGAAGACGTGTTTACGATGTGTTTGTTCCACCCAGCAGCAAAATCCACAACTACTTCGCGCTCCATAAAGATAAATATACACTAACCTTCATCACGAATAAGTAGAAACGCAAATCTGCGACACACACACACGATCAAAACATAGCTCACAAGCCCGCACGTCCATGTGCTCGCCAACCACAGACCATATGAAAATGAGTAAGTAGTGCGAACGCGAACCTAGTTGCGCCGAAAAAAAAAAACGTCGAGCAGTGGCAGCACAGGCGTCAGCGCAATAATTTCAGTGTGTTCTCCTAATACAATTATAAAAAAAACTGAGGTACACTAAAACTCATAAATAATATAAAAAGTTGAGTGTAATTTTTATTTAGTGCTAGTCAACATAAACACTGAATAAAAATTACTTTGTAACTTACATCGTTTGCTACACTAGCGCCACACTTGTCGTGCGGGCGCAGATGGCGCAGATTTGTCATTCTGCCCTCAAACTACACGGTGAAGCGTGCTACTAAGTGTATGGCTGATGAGAAGCGCGTCTGGGTCCGCTTTTTTTTTTTCTTCTCCGATATATCTGGGCGGGGGGGAAGGGGGGGGGGGGGCTCCTTATGCACGTGTTTCGGTGCTTGATCGACTTTGACGCCCTTACTTCGCGGACGAACGGCGTGTCTAGGCTTTTTTTATCGTTGTTTTGCACGTGTTTCGGCGTTCGGTCCGCTTTGACGTGCCAACTCTCCATTCTGCTGCTGCGTGTGTTAGGTATTTGCCGTACTGTATTCTCAGGCCTTCTGTGTTCAGCCAGCGCTGCTATCTTATTATCTACGGATGCTAAAATAAATCACTGTTTTGGTTTGGTGAAGTTTGGCACACAGAACAAACAATAATCTGGCCCATGAATATCAAAGTGGGCGGCATGCATATTTGTGTGCGGTGTCCTGCCGGGGAGTAACCGTTGCGTGACGAGAGCATTTACAGCGGTTCCTCCTTCCGTTGCTCCCTTACAAACTTAAGATGAATACAGTTGCTCCCCCATTCTCGAACAAGTCGGCCATCTTGTTCCGCTTGGTCTTTTCGGAGAGTAACAGTCGGTCTGAAGGAGTAAAAACAGCCGTTGCTCCCATTTTGGCCATTTTTGGCTTAGAGTGTGCCCACAGCCAAATGATGACAGGGAAGGGGGCTGGACCACCAGCTCCGAAATTTTCATAGGGGATGGAAAGCCTTCGGGAAGTACCCTTCTCCTCTCCAGAAAATTTCTCTTTATTTGCCTGTATTGTGATATGTCTCGGTTCCCAAGACATAGTCCCGATTAATAGCGCCAATATACTAGCAAGCACGAAAACAAAGAACAGCCCCTGGACACATTGTGGTCAAGGAATAAACAGGTAAGAGCAAAATGCACTGGAACACAACCACCTCTTGCGACCTCGGCCTTTTGTTTCTTACGAAAGATGACTATATGTAACGGAAGACAGTTATTACGATTAGAAAGATGCAGTATACAGTACAGAAAAAACAAAGCACACTCAAGTGTATTTTTTTTAGGCTGATGCCCATAATCGTATGTGGCTTTGCGGTGGACGTGGCTGACTGTGGCCAACAAAGACATACCAGTTAAAAAATATTCAAACGCGCAGTATTGCCAAGCCTAAGTTGACTAACTTGCTTTCGTACATAAAGGACAAGCAGCTTTTTGAGAAAATCAAACCCCGATGTGCGCATATGGCGGAGGTTTCTTGTGAGATTTTTTGAAGAATTAAATATTTCGCATGATGTACATAAGAAATGAGTTCCTGCTTCAGTTGTTCAGAATAAAAAGATGGAGAGTAAATTTTATTCTGCTATAAAAAAGCAAATTAGGAGCAGGACAGGGAAGAAAAAATTAACAAAAATGACGTCTGGAATCCGAGAGCAGAACAATGATACATGCTCAACGTACACAAATACTTACAAAGAACTTGAAGTAGTGAGGCTGTATGGTGCTGGTAATCGTGGCTAGAGCCTGGTCGACACGAGCGCGAGTCCTGGGACAGTCTGGGTAGAGGTCGGAACTTGGGGCGTGCTTTCTGAGCAGGTAGTAGCATATAGCCGAACTGCGAGAAAAAAAGGCGTGCGTTATTCAGAAAAAATAAAAACTTTTCGAGGGTTGAATAGGAAACGCTTTACGTGCATGTACAGGATGGTCCACCATTGAAGGGAATGCTCGAATGCACACCATCAACATTCATGGCCATCCAAGAGCCAGTGGATTAAAAAAAAAAACGTTCTTCATGCAAGTCAACAGTCTGTCAAAAGGAGTCAGAACTTTCATTCACAAGTAGTCTCGTGACACAAGTAATCTAAGCCGCTATGATTCCGTAAGATAGCTTAATCTAAACATGCAGCTCACGAAGGTGGTCCCTTTAACAGTGAGCCCGTCTGTGCATTTAGGCCCCCATTACAGAACGCCAAGCAGCTAGACTCGTTCGAAGTCACCCGCTGCAACGTTCAAACGAGCATGCTGCTTTCTTTAGGAAATTAAAAAGTCCGAAACGGGTGCCTCGCTGCTGCACAAAAGTGCCTCTCAATCAAAATGTGTTTAGGAATGCATTTTTGTTCGTATATTTACATAGGCTGGCTTACGAATGCTACTAAATACTTGAGAACAGCTTTTAAATTACGCGTTTAAAGAGTTGCGGGTAATACCCACGTGCGCAACAGTACACGGGTATGGTCATGAACACCTGAAAAGCTTGCCTTGTTCTAACATATCAATTTATCGGGCCCTCCGCATCGCAAATAAATGTCGTGGGCGCCATATACCCACACTAGTCAAAGTAGCATCGTGACAGAATTACAACACTGATTTGTGCTTGCATTTACGGAAGTGTGGAAAAGGCCCCTCGCTCAAAGTTACGGAAGGAATGAAGAAAGAAAAATAGTTATTTGATCCTGTGGAACACGACTGGGTCACTCACCCGTCACAGTCCCACGTAAAGACAAAGTTAACTAAAAAAATCTTTCAGCTCATGATTTTTGTAACATCACTGTTTATTTGGAAACAATTAGAAGCAATTATTCGTTTACTCCCGGCAGGACATATATTTTACACAGAAACAAAACTTTGCCTCTGACCTGATGTTCGTTCATTACTGCATGCCTAAAAAAATGAGTAAAGGAAAAGCATACGATTGAATACGAGATTCATACATCAAGACGCGAGTATCGAACGGCCTTGCGTAGAACTTGTTTCAGGCTAGATGCTAGCAAATCTTCCATGCGTTCTTTCCACACTTTCTTAAACTAAGAAATGATTGACTAAATTGTGGATATTCCTTCTGTTAGTGAGGCATGCTTCGATATTTCAGTAGTACTCAGAGAGATTGGAGAAATTCACTTTTATATACACAAAACTCACCTTTCATATATAATGAAGCTGTCGTCAGAAAAGGTAGGTACCTTGTGGAAGGGATTCAGCTGCCATAAAAACAAAGGAGCAGCATGTGAACAGATGTGCCGACAGTTTCACATGAGCTGCGTATATAGATTGCATGAAGTATGCCCAACGCTACTACTGCGGTTTGTGCACAAATGTTTCAGGTAGTTGATAAATGTCAAGTCACACTTTTGTTCACAAGCTGTGCGATCGGCGTTGAAATGTCCTTCAGCATTGAAAACCTAAAAAGCAATCACGTGCCATATATTGATTTGAGGCATGCAGTGTGGCAGCTGGTGTGTTCAGTACCAATCAAATCGGTATTCCTTAAGACGAGCCGAAAGAAGCTTTCACTTTCCAGACAAACAAATATTCCTAATGTATACAAAGCTGTGCTGAAAGTATCTATCACAAGCAATAGCTTAAAGGGCCACTCACCACCTTGCGTTTAAAGAGAAGGGGGTGATTTTAACCTCTCCTTCTTACACGCGATGCATCCTCCTCGCTCCTTAGTTCGTGAATGCACGTGAACAATACCAGCACTAAGCGCTAGAGCCTATCAGGATTTCGCGCTTCTCGGCTGCATGCTGTTATCACCGCTTGCGCAGCTGTGAACACAAAAAGTGAAGTTGGATCGGTTTATTGTGGACGATTTCATGCGAGACAAAGAAGAACGGGTGGGCGGCTGCATGGCAAAGCGGTGCAGGAGACAAATCACATGTGATCTTTTGCGTATATCAACGAATCAAGAGCACGTACGCTGTAGACGTCACGGAAACTACTGTCTACACCACAGTAGTGCGCTAAGAAGGACGAGAATATCAGGTAAGAATATTGCGCTCTTTTTTGTATTTTGGGGGCCTGGTGAGTGGCCCTTTAGGATATGAATCGTGCATGCCCCTCGAAACGCGTTAGCAATCACTGTTCAGATTGCTTTCTGAAGATTGACCAAAAAAGACAACAGGATCAGACTGTAATACAAAAATATTTTATACCAGTACACTCATTTGGGAACTGAGTTCTAAAGGGAAGCGCATCGAATGCGCATGTATATCAAGATTAAATCCTTAGATGCCCCATAAAACGCGAAAATTGACCGGCTTCTCGCGTCCGCGTCGACCGTCAGTGACATCAAGACGAATGAGGCAAAAAAAAAATATACACGCAATGACATCGGTACGTGTCGTCTTCCTAACGTCACTGGCCGCCAAGACTCGAGGCGTAATTTCCCGCCGTTACGTCACGTTATGTCATGCGACGTTAGGTAACGTGATGACGCCCTTAAACAACATTGCAGCTTGGTCAGGGGTGTGCCTATCTTGAAGGCCGTGCAAAAACAGCTGAGGTTGAGAAAGCTTGCCACGCCTACAACCCCAGGTGCAATGGACAACCGCGTTAAGTGCAGTAAGCTTTCTGGTAGGGGCGGGACAGGATCAGTACATCGATTGCGAAGAATCAGTATGCGTCTCGGTCATCCTAAATTAGTGCATCTGGGACCCCATGAATTTTTTTACACGCGGATGCCTAAGAACTGCAATAGGATTTAAAGCACTTAAACGTTACACACGGTAATGCAAACACACACAAAAAACACCTATACAAAGGTTATACGCTTAGCGAAAACGTCTAATATATTATAAAAAGAAATGTGGACATTATCGACATCCACGAAATAAAACAGCAACACCTTCGTTTTCACTATTTACTTGGCGCCTCCTGCAGACATAAGTGTCATTAAAATAACCGGGCGTTATGCTGATCATCTGAATCGAAACTAAAACGCAAGAAAACTGGGATAATCTAAGTTTTCATTTTTTTTCACAGCATTGAAGAACTGAAATTAGCAAGGGCAACTTGACACACCTTCTTAAAAGGTAGAATTGACATGGCCGGCGAGGCATGCAGCCACCACCGCAGATGTGTACAGACTGGTTTATTGCATTGAATGCGCTCGGGCAGGCGCCGATGTAACACATTATAAATAACCTTGAATACTTTTCAAATCACTTCCGCATTTAAAGGCTACAGTCAAGAGCAAACTTGAATAAGTTTCATGGCGCTGCTGTCTTGAGTTTTTATTAGGCTCTGTTCTGTTTTGTATACCTGAGACAGGTCGACCGTTAGTACACGGGCAATAACTCTAGCAAATAAATAATTATCTATCAAAATTACGCATAGCTTATGCTTCGTACTTCGATGACGACTTTGCACTTGATATTAGCATGAGTTGAAGGGTTAAATTGAAGCTTTTGTTGAATTATCTTGTGTGAATAAAATTTCATTCGAAAAAAATTCAATCTGATGGGATGGTTCCAATCCCGTTCATACAATCAGCGACGGTTGAATAATCTCGCTACGGATTAACATCCAGTATTTCCTTTATTGAAGGTGTAAACAAATCATCACTACCGATGAAAGTTTTTCCATCAAATGGCCTAATAATGGGAATATTTTTAGACAATCGTAATTGACCTGAACATAGTAATCTGAGGCGGAAGCAAAATGAATACAAATGAAGCTCGGGCAAATAACATTTTATTTCTTACGACTAAATGCAATTGGTGCTAGCGACGTGCGGACAGATGAAGTATATAAATAAAATGCGCCGTATAACCACGCCAGAAGCAGTAAACTTGGCCCAAATCAGTATGAGCTCGAAGTAATTATATGCAAGGGGATCCCGTTCGTAATTTACAACCTATATCTGTTGCTACAACTGTTGAAGTTACACGCACATAAATAAAGGAAATTTTGTGAGGATGTGCATTTTTGTGTAACACTTTTAAATTAATTAGGTGCATAAATGGCATAAGTTCGATAGCTTTTGAGACATCACGCGGGAGATCACATACCTCAGCTTCAATTATAACAAAGAACCTTGAAAACGTGCTGTGAATTTGCTTGCACCTGTGCTCTTTGTTACACACTGCAGTTGTACATAGGAGTGAACCTGGTACTTCGTTCAACAACCAGGCACACATATAGAAGCAGCGACCGAAGTTAAGCTTTGGATCGTATACACTAGTTAAATACCTTGGAATTCGCCTTTACGCGTGTTCAAGCTAAGCATTTAGCAGAAACTAAATGCAAACTTCGCAGCGCAAGTCAAAGACGTACGCTTGCTAGTGGCTGTTTCAGAACATGTCTGTGTGTACAACAGCGTTAAATAACAGGTTGTAAAATGTTAGGCTGCATTTTCGGTCTTGATAGTTTCAGTTCACGTTTATCACTGTAGATAAAGCGCGCAAATTTTTCACGAGAGCTTTTATTTCATTTTTCCAAATTTAGGTTTCCTTTTATGGCATCACGGACAGCACCACGATTTGTGCAGTAAAGAAAAAAAAAGAGAAAAAGGGGAGGGTGGAGTGCAAGGCGACCGTCATTGCACCGAGGGATCACGCTGCTAGCTTCTAGGGGCGTTTTTGGACACCAAAGAAAAAGCGGGAGAAGTGCACCCACCTGCACCCCCATTCTCTCTCTGTGCGCTTAACAGCACACATGTCCTTCTGCAGAATAATGTTTTCAACTGCCACTTATGTTGCCAGTCGGCTGAGGAATGAACGATTTGGTTGTTGTGCGCCATGAATGGCGAACGCATCTGGGACTAACCATTTGTTGGCCGCTGTGCCAATGCAATTACGGTGAAGTAGCCTTCATATAGAGGATTTCGCAACGTGGCTCTGGCTGTAAGAGTGTCGGCATAACGCATTGTCTAGATGTGAGACTGCACAGCAGGTTTTTATGCTTCCCCCTCTTCATGCAGTTAGGAAAACACAGTCACACCATTGCGCATCGCATAACTTCTAACCCAACAAAGTACGCTCCGCTTCGATACGAGCAAAATGGGCAGGAAGTGTCTTCAGAGGGAGTGTCCTTGTTAATGACTGCTTCGTTACCTAATAAGTGTGCAAGAGAGGATATGCGCAAAGCTCGGTTGGTTGGTTCGGCATCACTCGCTAGCCGCACATAAACCACTGCAGTGTTTTCTTTTTGTCTACCACAGATTCGCCGGGAACTTCTCAGTTATGTCACTCAGCATTCAACACCGATTGCAGAGTTATTGCATAACCAGTACGTTTTCTGTTGAGTTAATCATCTATAAGCTGCTCAACCCCGAAAACCATAGACAAGAACAGAGTGGGCGTATTAATTGCAAAAAGTAACCAAGAATGTTTAACGTATTAAGACAAATAACTGGTATGCAAAGATTGATGACGACTAATTCACTTGTGGGATGATTGTCAACGGTCAAGTGTTCATAGATTTTTTCGTCCTCACCCACCAGTCACCACAGCTCTTTGCAATTAGGGTCTTCACAAGTAATCTGTGGTTCTTGTACCCAGCAGAATAAAAGGCCTGCGTCCAAGAGCTGATCAGTGGAAAGCTGAATATATTCCGCTAATAAATAAATTAACTACCTCCAGTGAAATCAAGACTACCAAGCGACCGCCTACTTGAAGCCTCAGGGTGCTGTGTCTTTTTTTTATTGTTGAATATTGTGTTGTTAGTAGCTCTTTTATTCGTGCATTTGACTATAGTAAATGGTGTACGCAGAAGAAAAGAGCGTTGTAGTGGCTACAAAGTGTCAGACATACGCAAAAATCAAATAAGCGGACGAAACGCGGCACATTGTTCCTTCCGTTTCTTTGTCTCTGTGTCTGACGCACTGTAGCCATCATGAAGCTTTAACTCGCACATTATCCCGTCTTGCTGAAAATTGCCTGTTGACGCTGGGACGATTGTATCATATCAGCACTAGTTGAATATGTTCATTCCTTGCTCCATGACACTAAGTTTAGTTGTCATAAACAGAAGAAATGTACCTGTTCTAGGGAAATAGCTGGCCTTTGATTATAATTACATAAAACACTTCGCCACACATATTGATCAATATACCCGCCGATTCGTAACTAAAACAGAACGCTGCTAAGTCTGGTCATCAGCTCGAGTTTCGTGGCACGGCGCGCATCAGCACGACTCCGGTTTTCACGGACGGGGACTCGTCTGGCCCCACCTAACGTACCTTGAGGTATTCCGGCGTCAAATGCTCCCCTTTGAAAAGATCCACGTTCTTCACTTCCAAATCGACGCCGATGTGCTTGGCTAGCATGCGCACGGTGGCGCACGGCGGGCTGCCGTAGACGTTGTACAGCGTGTAAGGCATAGCTGCGCCGGTGTTGATCGGTCTATAATGCCGGTCTACGTGAGCGCTCCGTTCCTGCCTTGGTCTCACTGCGGGAGGTGTGGCTCCGGATGGCGTCCTTGGGGCAAGGAGGCGTCGACGTGGCTGCCCAGTGGCTCTCTCTCCCACTGCTTCCCTCGGAGGAGCTGTCGTGGCGGGCAAGGTCGTTCACGCAGCCGGTGATTTCAGCCCTCTTGCCAAGGAGAGAGTACCGATTGTAGTACAAGAACAAGAAGTGGAGTGGAAGAGTCGCACGGGATGCTGCAGTTCGCTGAGCGCAAACCGCCCGCTGTGGCGCGCAGTGTACTCGGTGCTGGGTCTGCTTCTTAGACGCACGGAAGCCGCGTGGGATGCGTAGATATATACAGGCCCTGCGTACAAGCTATGGCAAAACTAGAAGCTACACAACAGTAAAAATGGAGATTAGATTAGCCGCAGACTGCTGGAAATGGTGCTCGACATGCAAAACACAATGACGGCTGCAGAAAAAAAAAGGAATAAACACAGACACACTTTACCACGTGCACGGGAAGGTCTCTCTCTCTCTGCGCGCGCGCGCGCGTGATCATTTGATATGATTTGTGGCGTTTAACGTCCCAAAACCACCATTTGATTATGAGAGACGCCGTAGTGGAGAGGTCCGGAAATTTTGATCACCTGGGGTTCTTTAAGTGCACCCAAATCTGAGTACACTGGCCTCAACATTTCCGCCTCCAGCGGAAATGCAGCCGCCACAACCGGGATTCGAACCCGCGATCTGCGGGTCAGCAGCCGAGTACTTTAGCCACTAGACCACCGTGGCGGGACTGTGTGTGTGTGTGTGCGTGTGTGTGTGTGTGTGCGTGTGTGTGCGTGTGTGTGTGCGTGTGTGTTTCCTTTTTCGACAAGGAATGCTAGCGAGCTAGAGATTTTCTGAAGGATGAAGGAGGAAATGAACGAAAAGATGCGTTAAATCAACAGTGGAATGTTTGCTGTTGACCGTACATTCGAAGGTGACCTTCACAGCACTGCTGTTGCAAGTATACCACGTTCAAGTTTGTATCGTCTCAGCTCTCGGGTGACGCAGCCCAGCTCACAGCCTCGCTTGTCGGATTAAGGTGCATTGTAAACTAAGAAAGTGTCTGATGAATGAAACTGTATTTTGCCGTTATTACTTCCACGTTCTCTATTTTAAACACTCTGTTGCCGCATTATTAAATGACAACCATTTCTAAGCAAACTTCGGTGACTTTGAGCGTATCTATCTATCTATCTATCCATCTATCTATCTATCTATCTATCTATCTATCTATCTATCTATCTATCTATCTATCTATCTATCTATCTATCTATCTATCTATCTATCTATCTATCTATCTATCTATCTATCTATCTATCTATCTATCTATCTATCTATCTATTTACCTACGACATTTAGGTCTCCTAGCCGTTGCAATAATGGTATGAATACGAAATTGGGTGATGCATAGCATGACTGTCTGACGAGCATAAGTGACTAGTCCTAACATTAATATCATGACATGTACGTCGCAAATGTCATAATTACATTTCATGGTCTTGCTGCTCCTGCAGTGGTTTCGCATACATGACACATTGCACAACTGGTATGGCATGGCATGACTGCATAGCGAACATAGGTGCAGACCCTAACGAGGATATCATGACATGCGTGTCATGTAAGAACAAGCCTGCACGCTATGCTCAAAGTGCGCTCGCGGCCGCTTCGCTAGCTTCACATAGGTCAAAATAAGTACTACGTGATGAGAACGAATGACGAAGATAAATGACCCGTCGAAACATAATCATGACATGAGTGTCATGTAAAACATGACTACATGCTGCGATCATAGTGCGCTCGTGGTGATTTCACTACCTTCACATATATCGAATGAGGTGTTCGGTGACGGCAATGGATGACGATGGTATATGACTGGTGAAAACATGACAATCATGACATGCGTGTGGTGTAAGAACATGACAATGTAACACGCTCATGATGCACTCGAAGCCGTCTCGCTAGCTCCACATATACTAAATTTGGTATCACGCAACGCGAATAGATGACGATGGTAAGTGACACACCCAAACATAATAATCATGACCCGCATGCCATGTAAAACTTAACTACATGCTACGTTCATAGCATGCTCACGGTCATTTCGCGAGCTCCACATATACCAAATTTGGTATCACGTGACGTGAATGGACGATGAAAAACAATGACTCGTCCGAACATGATAATGATAATATGGAAGTCATGTACGGCATGAGTTACGTCCAGCTTGTAACCTTGTGCTGTTTTTAAAGTGAAAAATGTATTCATTTATTGTACCCTCACGGCCAAACAAGGCATTACAAAGGGGAGTGGTGACAATAAAAAGTTCGTACAGCATGGGCAAAGCATAAATATAGATGTAATACAAAGAACAAAAATCATAAGAAAACCATTACAAAGCATAAAGTGTATGTAAGGTATACAATGAATACAAACATAAAATATGAAAAATGAAACAACGCAAGAAAAAACAGACATGCAGTATATACAAGTGAAAAGTTGACATTCTAGTTAGCAATGTTGTTTATAGCACTACAAAACAAGGAGTTATCAACTGTTGTGACGTCCTAGCAATGAATGATCGACAAAAGGTGTTTGTGCTGCTAGCAGGAACATGAACCTTATCAAAATAGTCTATGTGACGGGATACATAGCGTGGATTATGAATAAGCCAATCATGCAATGATCGGTGGAGCAATAATTTATGAAACAATTATAAACGAGAATTTCCCTTCGGGCTGCAAGAGATGTAAATGATAGACCAGTTTTCATCACTGTTACACTGGCATTTCGGTGATAATTGGAAAGAATGAAACGAGTGGCGTTATTCTAGACAACTTCTAATGCATTATTTAGTTAGTGTTATGTGGGTCCCTAACAGCTGAAGCATACTCTGAATTCGGGCAGATTAAATATTTATACAGTAATAGTTTTAAAGAGCCCGGAGTATGAAAGAAAATTTTGCCTTAGGTAGCCAAGGGTGTGGTTTGTGTTGTTAAGGACGTAGTTAATGTGTGTTGCCCAAAAATTTTGGATGCAATATGAAGTCTTAAGTATTTGTATAAGGTCACTTGCCCTGAATGAAGGTTATTTAAGTAGTATTCTTGTGAAGCGTTACGTGACTTAGAAACATGCATAATATTACCCTTGATAGTTTTTATTTCCATGAGCACTGTATTACACCAGTTAGATATTTTATTTAAATCAAATTATAAGCGACTACAATCGTTGTTCGAAGTGATTTCTGTAAAAAATGACGCAATCGTCAGCGAAAAGATGACTGGTAGAAGTTACTCGTCAATGTAGATCAATAATGTATATTGCCACGTTCCTTTCCTCAAGTTTTCTTATCGCCCCGTTTAAACTATATTCAGCGCAAACCGCGCCTACGGTGTTAGAGATCTGAGGTTCAAGGCTGCAGTAGGTCGTTTTGTTGAGATTACGCTTCCTTCGTGAACCTTTCAGATTATTCTGGAACCTACGTCGCCGCTGGCGATAAGGCTAGAATGTTCGATGGTGAATGTAAAATGCCGACATGCTTCGCCGCTTGTCAGTTGATCGACGGCCGACGGTCTGTTGGCCGCTATTATAGCACCAGTGTCTTACTTTCCTTTTGCGTGGCCACAAGTTCGGCTTGAATAAAAAGTTTCTTGTTTGACATGGAGTTTGCTCTCTTCGTTCACATCACGACCGCGTGACAATATTAAAAACAACAAAGAACCGAGAACCGGCCCCTCGGGGACTGTTGAGGCAACAGGAGACATTGTGGAATTGTAGCCGTTTGCGGTAACGTATCAACCTTCCTCAGTCGTGCTTCGCATTTAATCGGTTACCGCTGCACGTGAGAACTGCTATTTTTTATATTGATGTTTTTCTACATAATATGAATATGGGGAGGGGAAGCATATATATATATATATATATATATATATATATATATATATATATATATATATATATATCTATATATATATATATATATATATATATATATATAGGCAGGCATGGTGGTTGAGTGGCCGTAGCGTTGCATATAGTCTAGTAGATCCTCCGTGAGCGGTCACAACGTGGTTTATTTCGACGTTTCGGCCTGGAGTCTGGCCTTCATGATGAAGGCCAGACTCTAGGCCGAAACGTCGAAATAAACCACGTTGTGACCGCTCACGGAGGATCTACTAGACTATATATATATTATATATATATATATATATATATATATATATATATATATATATATATATATATATAATATATATATATATATATATATATATATTATATATAGTATATATACTAGTTACCTCTGTTTTGGGGTTATCACTTACGCAGTGGTGCCAATGATTTTAACACTTCAGCAAAACACCTAGACTGTAAGAAGCAGGAGCTAACAATTCTCTCCTAGGCTGCTGATGGAGAGAAAGAAACACGCGACTCGGAGCAATAACTGCTTAAAGTTCTAATGGCTATTTCACAAGCTTCGCTAAAGCAGTTCGTTGTCGATGCTACGTTTTCCGAATATATGAAACTACAAAGCCACAGCACTTGTATTGGTGCACAACACCTATGCATTTCTCACTTTCCGGCGCCCAATTAGAAAAGAGAGCTTGTTCTTGCACAGGAATATTAGTCAACCTTATGTAAAACAATTAAATAAAGAGTTTACGAAATCAGCCAGCGTAATACACCTCGCCACATTCTAAACCAATCTTCAAGTGGGCAAGACGAAGATCATCGCAGTTTGCAGCTCCCAGTCGTCGACACCTTGAACTATTTATGAATAAGTCGAGCAACAGTGAATAGAAGGGAAAACGTAGCGGCGCCAAGAACTGGCCGCTCGTCGGAATTCGCGCGCAGGTTCGTACGATGAGCAACAGGTTTAAACGGAATGTATCTACGCTGCCATTGACCTGACGAGGTTTCACAACGAACGAGACTGCAACATCAGCGTCTATCGTGCTTGACTTATCTGAAAGCGGTAAAACCAGACAACGTGGAATGCCGGCTCTCCTCTCTTCCTGTCTCCGTTTTCTCCTCCCCTTCCTTCCTTGTTCTCGCCAGCATTTCCAGCAGGGAGCTGCGCGCTTTGCTCGCAAGGGAAGGGGGGGGGGGAGGGTTGGTCGTGTTTGAGAGGAATAACACGACGAGCACCGTACGTTATCTGGTTGCGTATTTCTGGGGAAGAGCCTAGCGCCGTTTGAATGTTATCTTGCGTGGGTCGACGGGCATAACGGCGTGTTTCGTAAAAGCAAAAAATAAAGATCACGAGATCATCTATTGCTCGTTGG